GTCAACGTCCAGATCAAATGACGCCAAGAAAGGAGATAAAGAGAAACCATTGTCGACTGATGCGTTGTACCCCTTGTTTTGGTCACTTCAAGAGAGTTTCAGCCAACCAAAGAGACTGTTTGAGACCGCAAATCTCGCATCTTTCAAAGAAAGTCTTGGTGCTACAATGAAGTTCTTTCAAACAATACACAACGACTCTAGGCGAAGCCTCAAACGCAAGAGAGACAGCGGTGAAGAAGACGAGAACTCGAATGCTTTCAATCCAAAATACCTAACTAGTAAAGATCTATTCGACCTCGAGGTGAGTCTACGCAGTCTCGTCAGCCGATTAAATACTCACGAGCCGAATAGATTTCCGATCTGTCCTTCCGCCGCCATGTGTTGGTTCAGGCCCTCATCATCATGGACTTTCTTCTCTCTCTATCCTCTCCAGCGCGAGAGAAGCTCTCGTCGTCTCTGGCCACGAATAAGGCCGTCATGTACGGAGACCAAACGCTGAGCGAGGAAGATGTAAGCATCACAATAACCCTGCCTCACCAACACCTCATCTAACACTTGACAGACCAAATGGGCAAACGACATGAAGAAGACAATTGCAGACTACCTCCGACAAGGCGCTGACGGGCCCTACTTCTATCGAATGGTGGAAACTGTGTTGGCTCGAGATAAGAACTGGGTTCGATGGAAGATTGAGGGCTGCCATGCCATTAAGCGTGACCCCGTCTCCCCGGCAAGCTTCGTCGAGGCAAAGGCCAATGTTCAACGCATGGCCACCAGCAAGCGATTAAGAGCAGTTCCCATGGGCTCCGTGTCGCTTGACTTTCTCCGTGAGCAGGACGAGGAGACGGCCATGGATCGGCTCAAAGCAAAGGAGAGGTTCCAAGTCCCAGACCTGGACAGCTTCAAGCGCAAGATTGCGGACGACGACTTTGAGATCGAAATGTCAAACAACCCGCAAGCAAAAGCTGCCGCTATCGCCGGCAAGGCTAGCAAGAGTTGGAGGGCGTTACGCATTGCTGCCCGCACGAAACTGGCTGCGTTCGACAAGATTGACGATCCCCAGAACATCAATGTCGTGTTTGAGGAGCTCACCGAAGGCGATGACGACGTTGAGCCCGTAGCCAGCGAAGAGGACATGCCCAGCAACCGAGACGCCATCATCATCTCGGGTCCCACTGGTGTTGGCAAGTCTACTATCGTCAACAAGTTGATGGAAGAGCGCAAGGGTGTGTTCGCACCCGTGGTTCGACATACTACACGTGAACCCCTTGACGGAGAGGTGAAGGGCAAGACATTCCACTTTGTCAAGCAACAAGAGTTTAACCAGCTCCGAGACGGTGATCGCTTGATAGAGGCTGGCACTCGTGATGGTGTCGACTACGGAACAAGCACCAAGGCCATCGATGCTGTTGTGGAAGCGGGAAAGATTCCCATAATCGAGCTGGACCTCGAGGTAAGGAGACCTTCAATCTCTCCACCTTTTCAATGTGCTAACTCTCCCCTTACCAGGCCACACAGTACGCCAAGGACATGGATTTCCAGGCCCGGTACATTCTCATCAAGCCTTCTAGCCCTGAAGCTTTCGAAGAGCGACTCAAGGCTGCAGGCAAGGAAGAGTCTGTCATCCAAGAGACCATCAAGCAGCTACCCACAGAGCTCGACCCAGCTAAGCTAGGTGAGCTTTTCGACACCACCATCGCAGATGACGATGTGGACGCAGCAGCCAGGGCGCTTGGAGACTACATCTACGAAAAGGGGAACGCGGAGGAAGACACCGCTATGAAGGACGATGAGGAAGCTACAAATGCGAAGGAAGCTGCCATGACAGACGCATAGATGGCATGTGGATGCAGAGTATCTCGGAGTTCGTTTGTGCATTTGTAGAATTGGTTCAGGCACTACTGGTAATGGGCAAGATGATACCCCAGAGATTCTCGCGTTGACCGTTGGTTCTTGGGTATTAGCCTCAGTATTCTTGAGCAGCACGGATCACAGGAGTCATATTGAACGGACAGGAAGGAAGACAGCATGTGCAGAGTAAACAAAGTCAATTCAAGTCACCACAAACCGAACTAAGTGAGAAACTAGACCACCAACCAGCAAAGTGCAACTACAAGACGCATCACACAAGCCTCCCAGCGACCAGTCTCGAAAAATACGAAGCAGAGAACCGCACGCACAAGAGATCCGTGGCTGCCGTGGGATATTACTCCTCGTCCGAAGACTCCTCGTCGGCCTCGGCAAGCCAAGTCAGGAACGGCTCAGCAGCCTTGCGGACCTTCTTGGAGGTAGAGAGGTCAGTGTACTTCTTGCTAGCCTTGCTACCCCACTTGGTCACCACCTCTTCGCTGACAAGGTCGTAGTGGTAGTACAACTGGAGGATCTTGACAATGGACTGGAACATATCAGGGTTGTTCTCAGCCAGATGACCAATGAGGCGCTCAGTGCCTCCAAGGAGGGCCTTCTCGTGGCGCTCAGAGGTGATAAACTGTAGCGGGTTAGCGTCTAGCCATGTCCCAGACGGAGTTGTGGATTTTGTACATACCTGCTTGAGCATGCTCGAGCGCTTAGGGATCTGGGCAACAATGTTCTTGTCAAAGATGGTTTGGACGAGAACAAGGACGCTGCGGTGCTTGCCCTCAATACCCAACTCCTTTGCCTTGACATAGATCTCGATGGACTCAACCTTGTCAATGCTACCCTTCTCTTGGGCCTGGGCCTGGATCCAGTCACCAAGCTCGTCATAGACGGTAGGGCCACCCTCGCCGTCCTCATCTTCGTCATCGCCAAGGTTCATCTTCTGCTTGAACTCGCCAGGGAGCGAGGCTTGGCGGGCCTTGACAGCCTCCTCACTCATATCGACAGCCCAGTCGTTGTCGTTGACCTCGACCTCCTTGGGAACCTCGGGGGCCTCGGCCTGCATCTTCTGGAGCTCGTCATCGCTACCGACGTCCTCGTCGCCGTTGTCGTTGGAGCCATTCTCAGAGGCTTCATCACTGCCCTGGCCGCTAGTGCCGTTGGCAGCGTTGCCGTTCTGTCGAGCCTTCTTGGCAGCCCGGCGCTCGGCCTTGTCCTTCTTGCCCTTCTTGGGCTGGTTCTTGAGGATGAAGCCGCTGAGCTTCAGGCGAAGGTCGACGTCAGTGCGCTGACCACAGGCCTTGCAGTCAAGCAGGATACGGTCGTCCTTGATGACAACATCGGTCTCAGGGTTCTTGCACTTCTTGCAGAGAACGAACTTGTTGATGAAGCCATCGAGGTGGTCCTGAAGCTTTGCAGCGTCATGGGCTCCGTTGATGATCCAACGGTCGTCCTTGGGGTCGATGTTGGTCTGAGCACCAAGTTCGAAGCCAAAGAACTTGATTACATAGGCACCGGGGCGGGCAAGCGAAGCGGCAACGCTGCTAAGGTTGACGACAACGGTCTTGATACCGTTTCCCTTGCCTTCGATCTTGGTCTGCAGACGCTCCATCTTGTAGCGATAGAAGGCGTCGCTGACATCGCGGCGGACGTTGACGAGAGCCATGGTGACGGTGTTGAGTATTTGTCTGAGGAATAAAAATTGACAGGGCGGACGAGGCGGTTAGGCGAAGCTAGTAGTTGATGGACTCTTGAGTTGACGAGGGCGTCATGAAGAGGCTTGGTAGCAAAGGGTAGCGAGGACGGGCGGAGCAAGAGGGTTTCAGTGCTCAAAATAACTTTTGATTGGCATGTGGCAGACCGGATGGATTCGCGGATGCTGAAGGGCAGGCATAGACAATTCTGGTCTCTGGGACTTCAACCGTCGGAACTGATGTCGGGGCTACAAGGCTTTCGCGGTATGCGAAATAACTGCAGCTTGAAGAGGTGTCTGAAGACGGAGAGCTGGTCGTGCTGATACATAAACAGCAGTGTGCCTTGACGGGGATATAAGTGTTCGGGGGTACCGATTCCGGGAAGGCGCGCGACGATGACCGGCGAGAGATGGTGCTCCTAGGTCAACGTGGGTTGTGCAAGTTGGGGAGGAATCGAGTCGAGTGGGCAAATGAGCCAGGAAGCGGGGAGGCAGTAAGAGTAAACGATGCGCGCTGCGACCGACAAAGTCAGCAGGCAAAGAGTCACGAGTATAATGCGCTTGGCGCGAGAGATGTAAGCGTGTAGGGGGTAAAAGACGATGGGCTGAGCGAAGCGAGTTTGCTGTCTCAGAAGGAGATGCAGAGTTTGTGGTGTTGAAGAAAAGGAAGAAAAAAAAAAGAAAGCGAGAGGAGAGCGAAGGAGACGGGAGTTAAAAGAAGGAGGGGGCGATGTTAGGGCCGACCAGGATTTCGGGCATAGATCGAGAAAGAATGGGGCAGGCGGCAAAACACGAAAGTCAAGTCAGACAGACAGAAAGAACGAGAAGTCAGTTAGGTTTAGGTAGTTGCGGCTGCCTCATTCACTGTGTGGGAAGGTTGGACTGAAACGACTACCTTCCTACCTGACACATGGAAGAAATTTACGACGATATTCTTGTTCTTTCGGTGGGAATCTGATCAGGTTTCATGCAGTACTTCACAATTTCCTCTTTGGATTCATCACCTTTTCCTCACGCAGAATAGAATCACGAGATGTCTCTCTGTGCTCCAGCGTATCGCCCTACCTGTAACGCCAGAAGTTCTGACTCCACTGCGAAACAGCCGCCCCAGGGGCCAAGGGTTCTGGACCGCTTCTCCCACCAAGCCCATTTCAGCCTTTGCACGCACTGTAACCGAAGCCTCACTACTGTACCTTTCTAGGCGCTGACTGGGCTAAGAGAGTTGGCGACGGTTGCCTTGTCCCAATTTGGGCACGCTGTCATGCTGCAGCCGCCAACTGGTCGACGGGACCGCCGGCAACTGCATGGAAAAACGGCATCTCGCAGTTGGGCGCCTGTCATCTCAGCACGACGTCACTCATAAATACCGCCTCGGGGAATTCGGATTTAACTGGCCATTATCTCAACATCAACAAAGGCAACGGCTTGTGTTTGCTCCTCGCGATATTGTTGCTCCAAACATGTCTATCAAGATACACATTGCGCGTCCCTCTCGACAAAGGTACACATGGTCGTCTACCAGGTTCACGCCGTTATTACCCGGGTTCGAGTTTGCCAACATCATGAGGTTGGCGTGATGTTTTGGTGATATACCATGACACGTCTTACACGAAACCCTTACACCAAGGGTAACCCCTCCCCCCGCTCCTGTCAAGGTCTGTGCTGCCCTAGCTGGGATCACTAGGTGTTGCCCTTTCAAGTCGAGGATGGTGTAAATGTGGCAGTGTTTTGTGCTACCTCTCCTCCCAAATGCATTCCGCCGTAGTCGGCAGAAGGGCATCACTGATTCTTTTCTTCCTCTGTCACGGGGACGAATTTGAGGAGGCATCGCTTTCCAAGGGGTCGCGATGAGATGAGCTGGTCATCCATGGCCATAGACTCGGTGCTCATCGATTCATCTGGCTCAGTTTCATACTGTGAATAGACGTCACGCAGTAATGTCTTCATCTCTGCCATGGCAAGGCTATCGGGTTTCTGTCAGCACATGTTCATATCATGCCAAGGTACCACCACTCACTGCTTTCCAATGCATCCTCGCCCTCCGCTAGAGAAAGCCCACTGGAGCCGACGCCGGTCGGCGTCTCCGTCAGTCTCAAGCCATCGTTCAGGGTAGAACTTGTCGGGATCGGGGAAAACATCGTCGTTGATTCGATGAACAGAAAAGGACTGGCAACTGACCACCGTCTTCTCTGGTAATGAAAATCCGTCAATGACACGGCCGCCCTGGGGAACATATCGAGGAAGAGACATAGGGATAGCAGGGAAGCACCGCAAGCCCTCGTTGAGTACAGCGTCCAGAAGAGTCAGCTCGTCAAAGGGTGCGTCGGGCTTGTTTCGGAACTCTTCTCGGAGTAAACGCTGGTACTTAATGGATCGAGGTTGCGAAAGCTCCCACATCAAGAAGCAGAGAACATCGCCGGTCGTATCAATACCAGCCGCCATATGATCGAGGCACTCAGCTGCCATGTCGATGGTGTCTAGGACGCTGTTCTTCTCCTTGAGCCGGTTCAACACGGTGAAATCAGCCGCTCCATCCTCTTTGGCATTCTCAATTACAAAGTTGTCGGCCAAGGGAATAGATCGAGGCTTTGCAAAGCTAGCAAGTACATTGGATACAACTCGATGGAGAGTTGGGCTGTAGTGCTGGACCAGCCGGTCTAGGTTTTCTTAGCCTGCTTGCTTCTCATATCGCTGTTACTAGAGATGGCTTACTTTTCAGGCTATCATCAGCAGCTACCTGATGCATCATCTCTTCATCGTCCTGGTTCTGCAAGCAGTTGCTGCCATATGGGTGGAAAAGCTGATGTGTGACACAATCACAGGCATAGGCATGGAGCGCTATTCCGGTCAGCATTTATTCACAGCCAAATCATTTTAGCGATTAACAAACTTCTCTGCGGCATGTCAGTTCTGTCTTTGCCGAATCAACGGGTCTTTCTTACAAACACATCGGCTGTACCATCAGGAGAGCTAACACAGCGCTCGATGAACTTCTTGGAGCGCACCTGTATGCCAGCCAAAGGCGCAGTTTTCATCACATTGCTGTTGGCATATCGATCACCGATCATCCTCCTTCGTTTTGCGTGCTAGGGCCAGGCATTAGTTACAGCACGTGGGATACACCGTAGTGAGACTAACATCGCCCTTGTTCAGCGTAGAGAACATGGTCCTAAGTCACGAGTCAGTGTTATTAAAGGATATTGTGCTACGAATATCATACCGCTTGCCATAAACCTGAAAGAGGTCATAAAACTCGGTCTTGTCATATCCACTACCGCCGGAGCCATAGATCTCTTTGAGCGCAGCCGCTGAGGTGAAGGACACCTCATTGGGTGCAACACGGACAACCGGGCCATACTTTTTGTGTAAGTCATGGAGGTACATGGTACGGTTTGCGCCGAGTTCGTTCCATTTCAACACGAGCGAGGTGAAGTTGGACACAACCGGGCCGGGCACCTTTGCCATGGCCGAGGTGAGGCGGACGACGACATGGATGACGAGGAGCAGAGCAGCAGCCCCGGCAATGAAGTCCGGTGACAGGAGCAACATGGTTGACGGCCTATTCGATCTCGACGACGGATCATGCAAGAAGTGAGTTTGTCCAACTTCTGCGGGAGAGAGGGAGTCTAATAACCTCCCGGCCAAGGACCGGACCGCCTTCTTATCACGAGGCGGCGTCCGAGTTATCGGCACTCCGATACGGAGCTTGGAAATCTCCAATCCAAGTCTGGGGAAGACCAATAGCTTTTCTCGCTGTGGGGGATTTTAATACCGGGAGTGGAAAAGTCACGCCCTTTTGGCCGTCTCTTTGCCTATCGGTTCTCGCTTGTCCTCCTTTTGACGGGTTTTTCTCCACATTCTAAGTTCCCCTCCATCAGTGACGCATCGCACCCCCGCAGAGTCTCTTGTGATTAGGACCAACCATTGGATTCTTATTTGCAAATCGAAAAGGCATTGCCGGCCGGAGGCTGGTTTAAGCCGCCAGGATCTATCAGTCTCGGGCCTGACGGTTCATGTATGACTCTACAGATTTTCGTATCACGCTTTTCATTACTCGCTACACCAAACCCCTTACTACAACGCCTACCGCAACCTAACTCCAGCCGATACTTGACCCGATATCCGGTCCCTCGATGGTAAAGAACCATGGAGATGGTTCAACATACACAGCTACTGTTTCGAGCTGGCATCAACCCTATAGGTCCTGTTTCCCGTCCTTGCGCCCTCCTCCGCCAAACATGCCCGTGATCCAACTCAGCCCGGGAATCTGCATCGCCGCCGCAGGAGGATATTCCTTGCCATCAATCTTTGTGCGCGGGGTGCAAGTGCACCACTGGGACTCTGGCACTCCATCGAGTACTTGCCGGACGTGGCTACCACATCCACGCCAGGACTTCTTTGCTGGGATGTTGGTCAGCTTATCGCAGGACTAGACTTGAAAGTGTTTCGAGACTTACAGCAGGTCGGGCAGGTCGCTCCAAAACACATGATGATGATGGGTGAATGGTTGATCAGGTGTGTTGTGATACGTGGTGTGGCGTTAAGACAAGTGAGATTAGTGGATCGTCGATAAAAGCTGCAAGTTCGCAAGTTGATTACCTGCTTGGTTCACGGATAGTAAGCTGCAGGAACTGGGAGGAAGGTATGCATTTATTATCTATCTCCCTATTTGATCTACATTTATGATTTGTCTTCGGGCAAATTTAGGTCGCCGACCTTGTTTGTAGGTGATACTCTGGATGGTCGCCGACCACAACTGAGCTTACCCTGAACCTCGACTCATGTCTGCTTAGACAATACCAGGAATTCATATCTACGATGGTATAAGTGCCTCTACTCGGGGAATTTTGGGTTGCAAACAGATATAAGCTTGCACCCATGTCATTATTCTTGCTTGGGCTGGCTTCCCTTGTGTCATTGAAGTGTCCATTGCATCCCCTACCATCACAAGTGTATAAAAAGGCGGGTATGAGCCGAAGAACAAGCCACCGAGTTAAGCTGAAGGCCAAGGTCCAACCAAGGAAATCTTGCACCGGAAATAGAAGTGCCAAGAAAATACGGACAAATATACATTGCAAATAACGCCCACTGAACCCCGTACATAGGCGTTGAAGGATCATGGAAAAACTGCCGCACGGCAGCCACCAGATGTCGTGTCAGCACATCCCTGTCTGGCAGGAAAGCTTGTAAGGTAGGTTTCTATTCATAGCAGCTTCCATCGGCGAGCAGGGGTTACGCACAGTTTCTCGAAATTAAAAACACGTCAATTTCCACGGGGAAAAGCAGGCTCGAGATAGAGTTACGACAAGGGAGACATGTTTCTGCCCCTGCCTTTTTTTTTTTTTTCCATGCCGATCCATCGTCCCATATAAGCCTCGGCCATGATGCTGAAAGTGAGGAGATATTATCTCGGTTCATGCCATGCTGGCCAAGGAGCTGGGCCTGCTGAATGTTGTTGGCTTGGGTTGAAAGCGAGCTCCAAGCCCGCAGGCACAGCCTCCATGGGACCCCGCAGAGCGATGGATGGATGCAAGACGTCCGAGACAGGCGTCCAACAAACCATACAGGACGAGGCTGAATGTGTGTGATAGAGAGATGACATTGGCTGAGAATACGCCTGGGACTTGATCTCATAGGCCCGGCTGCTTGCTGACACGCCCGGGGACAGGCCTGTGGGAAGCTTCGAAAGTGTGGATGAACTCCTCACGCGCCGAGGTGAAGAAGGGCTGAAGATTTGCTGACCATCCAGCGCCAAGGAGTGACCTCATGGGCCCCAAGTCGTGCTGCTTTTACCGCCAGAGGATAAGCGTCCAGTGTGATGAGTCCTGAGTGTTAATTTACATGATACATCAATATCTGCTAGGGACATGTCAGGAGCACGGTGAGATATATTGCCATGCAATGAAAGATTCAAGTCAACAAGTACTCAAAAGCCCATTCAACATGACTTACAAGATGGGCAAATTACATACCGATAGCCTTTCACCCTCCCTTCCATGTTCAAGGGTCCTCGGTGAGAGCTTCAAGAGCGGCAAGGACGCTAACCTCAAGCCGTCGAGCGCCACTGAGAGTGTCCAGGGGGGCTGTGCTGTAAATAATCCAATCTTTGACGGCCGAGCTAGGTCCATTTGACTTGACAGGGGACGAACATGCAACGTTCACCTGGACATCTGCCATGATAGAGAGAGCTGCTGGAGCTTTCGATAGTCCACGACACCACCCTAGTAGTGCCATCCATTTCGTATCGTCCCGCCCAAGCTGCCGGACCTCCACCTCGACCGTCAGCGGCCCGTCTACAGCAGCTGCTGCTCCAGGGATCTAATCTTTGGGGGGCGGCGTCCACGAGTCCAGCCCAGTCCAGCTTGCAGCGGGTTCCGGGGCGCTGGACATCCACTGCGGCGACAGCGGGTTCAGCGATTGAGAGAGAGAGCGTGGTTTTTCCTTTCTGGGGTTTCCAACCTACGTACTGCACTCACTTAGGCGGACAGGCTGAGAAGGTGGTTGACCGTGTCCATCCGTCGGGCCCATCCCATCCCCGATCCCAACAAGACCCAAGAAACCGTTTCTCCTCTTTCCCATATCCTTCCCGTGCGTCGCTGTCCAATCTCTCCGTCCTCAACTGCTCTCGCTGTGCGCCATTCTCCAACGTCCCCCTCTCCCCGCGGACCGTCTCTCTCTCCCCTCTCCCCTCCCGTCCAGTCCGCAACTTCAATCGCAGGATGCCGAGCTTCGGTCGCCTCGGAAAGCATAGCAACCGGTCCTCGCAGGCGCTCGCCTCGTCAAAGACGCCTGCGACGACAACGACCCCGTCTGCGACGAGCGGCAGTGCTGCGACGGGCGCTCCAGCTGCGACGACCCAGGCGACAGGCCACCAGCGCCAGCCGAGCCACCAGCAGCAGCAACAGCAGCAGCAGCTCCTTGACGAGGCGGACTCAGCCGCCCACAGCGCCCACAGCGGTCACGGCTTCGGCCACTCGCACAACGCCAACGCCAACGCCAGCAATCCTGCCAACTCGAGCGCGACCCCCCATTCAGCCTTGTCGTCGTCCCATAACACCGCCTACAGTTCGAGCGAGTCTTTTGATTCACGGCAGCCCTCCCACCTTTTGCAACAGCAGCACCAGCATCCAGGCCAGCCGCCGTTGCATCTTCAACATCCCCAGCAGCAGCACCAGCCTCAAACACCGTTGCTGCCCTCCCCCTCCTCCGCCTCCGCTGGCGGCGCCCCTCCCCCGCCGCACCTCTATAGCTCACCCTCGGCCGCCAGCAGCACCACCGGCGCAAACATCAACAATCCCCCTTCTCTGCAACAGCAGCAGAGCTCCAATCTGTCAGGCTTTGATGGTCATCAGTCTCACTCGGACTTTGTAGACCCTGGTTTGGGCCGATCGCAGAGCATCCGCTACAGCTCCGCCACACCATACGACATCACAACCTCGTCGGTCGACGATCTGAATAGCCACGCCGCTGGGTACGGCCAAGCTCCTCCTCCTCCTGTTCAGCAACTGCAACCGCCGCCGCCGCCGCAACAACCCCAGGCGACTCCTCAGAAGCTCTCGACCCGAAAGTTGATTAAGGGCATCTTTTCTGGGTCCAATCGTGGGGCGTCTGACAGCCAGCACCACCACGGCATAAGCATCGGCCACGGTCACCACCATTCCTACGACAACACTGGTGGCCTTGCGCGCCGTCCCTCCAAGCGGGTGAGCAATCCACCGCCTTTCCTAAACAATCGCTTCTCCTATCCTATCCTGTCCTGACCACAGCCTTCCCTTCCCTTTCCTTGTCCCATCACATCTCACCCTTCCATTTCCTCTCCCCTCTCCTGCATCTGCATCTGCACTGCACAGCTCCCCTTCCCCTCCCTCAGCCTCACCCTCTCAATCTTACCATCAATCAATTCACTCTCTGCCCGTCGCCCAGAACAGCACAGCACAGCGACTCTACAGGTCAAGACCCAACCAGCAGCCACAGCTTGCCTAGTCCCGGGTCCAGACCCGATCCAATCCCCTTTTCCCTCCCCAGCCCAATTCGCCCAAGCCCAACCAACCCCAACTTGTGAATCCTGGCTACTATTGGCGCCAGCCGCCAACCCATCCATTGCCTCCGCCAGCCCAAGCTGAGTAGATCCAGCAGGTCCAGCAGGTCCCCGACAATCCACAGTCCCCTTATCCACCGCAACTCTCGTCTCGCCAAGGCCTCGACGACATCAATGAGCATTACTCTGCGCATGACTCTAACTCGCATTCACCCTCGCAGAACTCTCGCATCTCCCTTCACAACACCATCCGCCAAGTCTCTGGTGAGGTAGACCAGCAACAGCACTCGGCCAACTACGAGGACGCCGCCTATCGCCAGAACCAAGCCCCGCCCCAGCAGCAGCAACAGCCGCCGCCGCAACCCCACGTTCAGGTACACCCCCAGGACCAACAACCGCAAACCATCTACGAAACGAGCGTTTACGACCAGCAACCGTCTCCTCTTAACCCGCCTCAGCACCCGTCGTCGCAGCAGCCCTACCCTTACCCGAACTCTCAGCAGCCCGGTTATCATCAGGGTGGCATCCAAGGTGGAGATTTGAGAACAGTCCCAGCTCACCTTGGCACTGTTTCCCAGTTTCAGAATCCCGAGACTGTTTCGCAATTCTCGCATGAATCGCCCATCACCGACTCGGATCAACGTTCGGCCAACCTGCAGTCAGCGTCTACTTCACCTGCGGTGAATCACTCCGTCTACGTTCAAAACCACGGCTCAACCACGAGCCTTCCCCCCGCACAGCAGATCACCCCACAGCCGCAACAATCGGGCATGGCACCACCCGCTGGAGGACCTCCCCCGTCTCGCCGTCCTGAAGCCGACAAGCTGCGCGGCCAGGTCGACCCCCCCGCCGGCCCGCCCCCCACTTACCGCCACAGCACCTCAATGAACAACATGAACCCCCTGCCCCCGGTGCCCCAGGGCGCCGGCCAGCCGCAAGCCTACCAAGGCAACCGCCCGCCGCAGTTTGAGGGAGACCAGGGCCGCGATAGTCCCCAGCCCGTCTCCGCTGTCCCTGCTGACCCGGCCGGGGATGAAAAGTCATTCAAGGACCTGCGTAAGTGACCCGTTGAATGCCGTGCCGTGTGGGTCAACTACGGGAGCTTGCATTAACCTTTTGTAGTTACTAAGTACAAGAACGTCAAGCGACTCTACTTTGATGGAAAGGCGCAGATCGACGCACTCACTGGGCAGATTGTCCACCTTCAGAATGCTGTAGCCAACCAACGTATGTCGCAGTCGCGCACTGCGCTCGACGACAACGAATACTCGACGCGATGGAACCGGCTCAATGGTGCTATCAACAACCTCTCCTTCAACATCCGAAAGGATTGGCGAAGTGTGCCGCAGTGGCTTGTTAGCTACGTCAGTGCAGATGCGCTCAAGACTGGCAAGGCCGAGATGACGGCAGTCGGACGAGCCGTCATTTCTCGCTGGTTGATGGAGGAAGT